TTTCTGAATATGTAATGCCATGCAAAATTAAGTGTAATTAAATATTAAGCATAGACCAAAGCCAACAAACAATACCAAACAAGTATATGATACATTAAAATGCACTTTTATTTGTTAACAAAGCTCCAAATGTGGTTGTGCTGATATTCTTATTGAATATAGAATAAAATAAAATAATCTTAACAGTAACTTTAAGTAATATATTAAAAATCGAGGTCATGCATTTAACAAGTCGGTATAATGTTGTAAAAAATACAAATATAGAAAAAAAAGTTAGAAAGTACTAAAATTCATGAAAATTATTTACAAAAGTAAGCATATCAAACTTTAGAATAAAGACTTTTAAATGTAACCACAATATGTACATAAGTTCTAAAACCTATTTTGTCTGAGATAATTCTCATTCTCAGAAAAAACCAAAAAAAAAAGCACCATATCCAATAGTATCATTTAAGAGAAGAAACTGCACTGATTTTGGAAACATTTGTTGAAGTTTCTTTAGATTACCAGTGTCTGTTAACATAGATTTTGAAACCAAAAAATGGGACAGTCCTACCCTTGCTCCTAATTTCAGAATGGATATTACAAATTAGAAATAATTTCACTTTTATAGAATTTAAGTTTATTGAACTGTTCCATAATATTTCCAAATATATTAACATTGGCATTGTTTTTGAAATACGTTCAACTACTTTTTTTGGTGATAGACACTAAACAAATGAGCAAAAATAGTCAAATTATACACCCAAGAAATCTTTAGTAATTCACTTTATCCAGTTGATCTTAAAATAGGCTACTGAATTTATTTAAGAATCCATAACATGTTCAAACATACTATATTTAAGTGTTGGCATTACTTTGAAACTTTTTAGATTTATTTTTGTGAAGAATGAATGGAATGTAGAAGTTCTGTTGCTTTTTTTCATTAAAAGTAATAACATAGTGTACACACGACTGTGTAAAGTGTGTTTTGGTGATAGCACTGCCTTAACTGTCTCCACATTCAGACCTGTGCTTCTCACCATGCACAGCAACAGGAGTGTGTGTTACAACAATGAACAAGTTAAATAAGCCTATTACATTCATGATTCGATGTGACTAACAGATTAATGTCTTTATCAGAAAACTTGGATGTTTTGTTCATCCTGAAAACTTTTCTAATGACATTGGGATAAACTACCAAAAATGGAACAGTCCCAGCAAAACTGGGAGTTTTGATCACTCTACTGTTAAGAATAAGTAGGGTTAATACATCAAAATTAACAGAGCTACCAGTGATCTAATAAATTGTATCTTAAAAACTAACATTCATGTGCAGTTGTATCTGATAACAAGTTTATAAAAACAAAGCGTCATTTTTTCTGACATTAAAAGTAAATTTATTTTGAACTTTCTTTAACGTTAGTATCGGGGATTGGCAAAACTATTAATTAAATGAAATGGAAATATGTCAAATGTAATTCTTAGGTAAAAACCAATGCAGTATATTACACAAAATTCAACAGTTTTGCTCTTGCTTCCACAAACATCTTTCTCAATGACATACATTATATGACAAAATATTTTCATATTTTTTTAGTAACTTATATCTATTGATCAGTAACATGTAAGTGGAACAATGCTTCAAAAAAAAACAAAAGTAAGTGACATTAAACAGTAATACTTCACCATCATTTATATATTACGAATATTATACCCTTTGTATTGGGTACTATAATGTCAATAAGTTAATCATTTTTCTATTCACTACACATTTTTTGAATTTTACTTAAGTTCAAAAGCTCTCAAACACTTTAAATACCATTTAATTGCATGTGTAAGTTCAAATACTTATCATCAGATGTCCATTGGCATCAATAATCAATTTTTATACATTTGTCCTAAAAATTATAAGATTTAATCTCAATAAATATGTGCTTTTAAACTTTTTCTAAGAGTATTACTTAAATCAAACAAAAAAACTTGGAAAGGTTTGATATAAATTATTAATTTTTCTATTTATTTTTTTATTTCAAATAATGCTTATTTTATTTGATTAAACAGGCCAGTCACCTAAGTTTATTTTTATAGAAATCACAGTATTTGCTGAAACATTTTCCTTTTTAACAAAAAAAAAGTTTACAACACATTAAGTATGTGTATGAAAAATGAATATTACACACACACATATGTGTCTGTGTGAATTATATATACATATAAAATCCATTTTGTTTTAAGAAAAATAAAAAACCAAATACTATAAAATTTAAAGATAAGTCAAATATTTAACTTATTTTCCATGACATAAGAGGGTTTTCTTCATTGAATGGGAAAAGTAAACTGAAAATACATTAAAATACTAAATCCCCCACTGACTCTGGAATAACATCAAGAAGTAGTCATTATGATAACATGTAATGTACAAGAATAGACCATAAACCTTAAATTATAAACAAAAGTTTACTAATTTGAGCATCCAGAACTTTTTTGACATTGCTATCAAGATCCAGGTGCCAAAAAATAATGCAAAAAAATTTTGTTATTAGTCATTGAAATCTTGCTTTATTTATTTACTAATGCTAGAACGTTTGCTGAATTTTTTTTGGAAGATGTCTGGTAAAAAAAAAAGCAAAGTCAGGAGAGTTTCTCTAGTATGTGAACAAAAGGAAATACAAATCCACTGAATTTTGATTAAACTAATATAATACAAACACCACTAACTATTTTGATAAAAAAAATATCATAATCAGAAAACCACCAAATTTGTGAAAAGTTCCATGAAACAATTACAACTTACAGTTCTATAAAACACCTTATATTTTTTGTACTCACATTGCTTAGGGGAATCAAAACATTACTACCAAACTTGTATACAGTTTTTGATCTTATAATCTATAACAGGACTAAAACTATGAAATCATCCTGAAGTGTTACAATTTGTGTGATTAACACAAATGAAAATGTTTTGACATGTTTCTTATCAAACAAAAAGTATTTGTGGAATACTGTCAGAAATGGGGCCAACCACTCATTAGGTACATAAACTAGGGTACAAACTTTGACTACAAACATATATAGATATATATATATAT